CCTACTTCTTTTTTCCCTTTTTAACGATCCAATACATCTGTTAAGTTATGTGCTATGTCCTCTTTTCAACAGCTGTTTGAAAGATTCTATTGAGTTTGGTAGACGAAGGGATGAACAGTGGGGGTTTCTTAATTATTGTATAACACACATAGTTAATTAATGCAATTTTCAGATGTGTTGGCGTTCTTTACAATGCAATGTTTAGCAGCGATGCCGACGCAATATTGTTGTACATATTTAAAACAAACGGCAACAGCCGCGATACAAACACAAAATTGCGTATTGCGATGCAGTATCATTGAGTTGCTGTTGGACACGACTATAAGGTGCTTTTAGTAGTTTTTATGGTTTTGGCCTGTTTGTACCAAGATCTTCGATTGGTGTATTTACTAGAAATGGGGAAAGAAAAGTGACACATCTAAGTACCTATCTCTTTCCTGCACTTCAAACAATGCAAGAGGAAAAGTAGAATGTTTTAAATAATATGTTGTTTGAGTGTTGTCTTAGATAACAGCAGTTATCTATGATATCTTTATTATTTATTACCTACGAGATGATTTTTTTAGGAAATGTTGACATGTGGGGTCGCAAATGCAGTCTTGCAATGCAAATCTGCAATGCATCCCTTTTTCTTTTATTTTCTTGTTTGTAATTTGAATACGCTCAATGGTTTCCTCTATGCTAACATCGTAAGTCACTAGTCATACATTGTTAGGTCTGTTTCTCTATAATATGTAGCGGAATGGACATCTTAGATGCCATCCATTCCATATCGCTACAATCTAATGCACATTTCAGATGTTAGTCAGACAGAAGTGAGACCATCCGACCTTATTGCCTTTCTTTGCTTCTGCGCTTTGAGCACCGATTCTACATCGGCTTCTATGAAATGCGGAACTTATTTATTAGAAAAAATAAAACCACAGAAAATACTTATAAAATCATTATCTACATTTAAATAAAGTACACATATGATTTTGTCTAATTTAAAACATTATGTTTCAGGAGTATATACTCGTAGTTCTAACTCATCCTAACGACATTTAGCCTAGGCTCCAGGTTATACGGGATGGACCCGCTGGACTAAAGTTTAATTATGTAAAAAAATCTTCGAATTAAGGGGAAGTTAGGGCTAAAATTTTACTGCTTTATAAATTAGATGTACAAATTTGGTACAAAATATATATAAAAAAAACAAAATTCTTAACATAATTTTCGAAATTTAGAGGTAAATAACGTTAGCCTCGTCTAAACTAAAAAAACCAAATATCTCAAATATTGTGTCTTACTATATAAATTAAAACTTAAAGTTACGATTACGAGTTCAAGTCTAGCGTCGATCGTGTGAATATTAGGTTTAAGTTTTTTTTGTGCTAAAAGGGTGACAAACAAAGCATATGGCCCGCCTGATAGTAAGCAGCACCATAACCTATTGACGCTTGTGATATCAAAAATATAACTCGTGCCTTTGCCTACCCTGACCCAAGCCTTGTGGAGCTCTGCAACCTTACACACCGACAGAAACACAAACCACCAAAAGGCAGTGTTATTTTACTGTGGTCTTCTGTATGGTGGTTTTGAAGTAAGGCGTCACACACAACCCGTCTTTAGTCTCAATTTCAATTCGATGTATAATTTCAACTCTACCTTTTTCTGGTTCTGTAACCTTGTTGTTACGCACTCCAGTACCTATACAATATAATCAATTCGAAGAGAACACAGCCCCTGAGTCAAAATCTTAAATACAACCCGGTCTCATATTTAATTTTCTCTTCCTATGTAAATATATGTTCTAGTAGTACTATAATATACATTATATGATTTCAATTGTTTGTTTGTATGCGTTCACAAAGGTTGAATATTTTAAATACTGTGACAAAACATCGTAAATTCCCCCAGGGGCGTGCTGCGGCAATAACAATGACGTAATATTTCAATGCGGAAATAAAACAATGCAATGCGTGTCATACCGTCAGTTTCTTGCTGCCATAATGGGGTTCGTGAATAAGTGATACACCTTGCATTTGCCGCAGTTCCGATGACGTATTTCACGCAACGCAAGAAAGCGAATCTGTATTGTTCGTGCTCCATGGTATTGCGTCCCCTGTCATCACAGATTATGGTATTTATCTTGACACGGTAATGGAGATTGCTCAGCTTCCATACATATTTGGCCTAAAGACCAATAATCATGAAAAATTATTTCCTAGATTCGACATTATATATAAATTACTGTAGAAACGACTATTATTGACGGACACCCCTGAGAACTTCTATAAACCATATACACTGAACATATTAAAATAATAAAAAACAAATAAGTTATATAGTATAAACTACGGAAATCAAGCCAAGTACTAAGTAATTATGGATTAGATTCAGGTATATAGAGCATGTAGATTAACAGATAGTTGCCTCTTTTTAAAGTTAATGCATAAGAGTAACTTTTAAAATCAGGTGTCATTTCCGGTTAATAATAAGGTACTCTGTGACAGAAACTGTGTGATGATTGTGAATGAGCCACAGATTAGAGAGAATTTTTAAACTCTCGTTAAACAAAGAAAGCTAAAAGATTTAGGTTCTATAGCCATATATTCAGTAGCTTCATTATTTTTGTTATGGTTTTAAGATAACCATTTTTTAGATTTTTAGTGTATCACACCTTAGAATTTTATTTATTTATTAACTTATAGTCAGGGAACGTAGGCCCATAGATAGATACCTTAAAGTCTAACATATATACAGATTATAATGTGTTTATGGAGGTGTTTGGCGAAAAATGTATGGCAAGGCAATAGACTTAATGATGTCGCCTACTATCTCGCACAATTATTATATAATTGTCTGAGCACATTTGCATCTAGTGAAAATGATAATATAATTGTGGATATTAATACCACAATGTAATAAAAAAAAAATCGATCTTTACAAAATAGATTTGTTTTTTGTTATATAAACAACTTCGATCAGTCTTTGGCTGAATGTTACTACACCCATAGCCATTAAAAATGATTCGTATGTTTTCCAAACCGGTAAAATTAAAAGTCCTTTTTAAAGTAAATATATTATACAAAGGTGTCCGTTGAAATGTAATGACTGTAAATTAAATTATAAATTACGCCAAGAATTACCGTGTATGTCAATATTTTTTGTGCATTTGGGCCAATTTGAGCAATCTCCTTTGAATTCCGGTAAAACAAAATCAGCTGCACCGACTATCTTTTTACAACCAAAATAAAATAAATTTAAGAACACACAATTATAAAACAACAACAACAATGCGATTTATGGCATTTTTTGCGAAACCTTGGCGACGAGAACGAGCTGACGGACGGCGCCGAAGTAGGAGGTACAGTAAAAGTCGCAGTAAAGCGGTACACATTTTACTACAGTCGAAGAAGAGATCTCGTTCTAGTTTCGTCGTCCCCGTGACGGCTGCAGTGGATAAACGGTCTTAAAGTAAGACTTGTAATGTAAGATAGGAAACAAATAAAAAACTTTATACGTAATAAAAACATGTTATACACTAAAAGTGCAAATTAAATGAAAGCATGTAGGTATTGTATGGTGATTGAATTTTTATTTTGAAACGAAATACTGTATGATAAATAAATTTAAGAAGAGTTGAGAAATGAATGACTGTAGCGGTCACTCAAAAGAAATACAATAAAAAATCGAAATGTATGTGATTTATTATCAAACACTTGGACTTTTTGATATTATCAAATAAACGTCATTAACGTAATGTTCCCACCATATAACGACATCAGAAAGAAAGTGAAAATGTTGAAGATACGAATGTGAAAGCCTGCGCGAAATGTAAATAAATTGATATATCCTCAGTGTATGAGTGTCAATAGAAAGTGTCCAGGAACAGGCGTTTTCTCTTGCTTCGTTTTGATGAGAAATGGGGTTCAAACTGTCAATGTTGTTTTGTAGGTTCGGGTATTTTTTTTTTGTTTCCTCCATGGCTGGTGAGAAATTGTAAGGTGCAGGGTTAAGTCGGACCCTGACTGACTTAAACACAAACCTTCGAGCGACGCTTCTGGCCATTAGGGCCTCTCAGGATTCATCTAAAGCAATGTTTCTTAACCTTTTAGTGATAGGGGACCATTTGTCTAAATTTCTGTCTAGCCACGGACCATCAATTGTTTGCAGGGGTGTATTTTAAAATCCACTAACTTTTTGCACCTCCCTTGTATGGGAATTTAATTATAATTATTTTACATATAGTTTCCATTTGGTTGCTAGGCTTAAAATGAGGTCATAAATTAAAGAGAACCGTTTGTTCACCTATCTTCAATTCATGTATTCAGGTTTGGCGCAGGATCCGCGTGGAGGCCAGGTGTTACCGTTTGGCAAAAATTCTCGTCACGAACGCTTTTCCACTGGAATATGTTAAAACGGTCCATGTTTTTAACTGTTCCGTTTATATTTCTTTGTTGATATATACACGGCCTAGTGAAGCCAGCAGAATGGTTTTTATTGTTACATTAGTAACATCCTTTTCTTTGGGTCTACACTCTCTTTATCCGAGTCCGAAACGAAATTCTGATAACATACAAACAAACAGATTCATTTGAATAACTTTAGCAATACGATAAAAACCAATGTAATCGTGTATATTGCATAAAGAATTAATTATACGATCAGATTTGATACTCTAACATGATTGTATTATATCTAGATGAAGGTATAGATAAAGTTGAACACTGAAGTATTTAGAAAGAAGTTTTTGGATTGATGTATAAACGTTAAGTTTCTTCGTTTCCAGTCGCAGAAGTACTCTCGGGTAAAAATTTCGAGGGGGAATTGATTAATCGCCGCTCCGAGTGGCAGATGTTCAACTGGCTCCTGCTTGTTGGCTCGTGGCTATTGTGTGACTTTACGAATGGCAGCGCACAACTCCCATCCCAACTAATCGCAGTTACAATACCAACAGAAGTTTTTTTTGAATGGTTATACGATTTTATAACTGACTGCTCTCTTGTTTGTTGCAGACATTGGATTTCGACCGCGATGGCCTAACGAAACTAAAGAAGGCTATAAAAGCCATACACAATTCTGGAAATGGTAAGTAGTCGTCTTACTTCATATTAAAAGGTGATTTTTTGTGAACTTGATAATCTGGGACATCCTTAACGATGGATATAGGTGGGGCGAACTACAATGTATTTACTTGAAATAAATAATCGTCGAACAATTTTGTTCTATTTGTATGCTTGCTTCGCTTCAACTTATTCAAGCGACACGTGACAAGAGAAAACCCTAAAATAGTCGAAGAGGAAGTAACGTGAGCAGATGATACTAAAATAGATTAAATTCCTATACATATTTAGCTGGAAGTATAGGCGACACACACGTTGCGAGCTTCCTCATATTTTGTTCCGTTATAACTACTATGTATTATTTTTGTTATTATGCCTATATTTAGTATAATTTTCGTTCTTTAGTAACAATCGCCACACAATTTGTCTACAACACTTACTGATTGACTGGTAGAGAATGCCTATGGTATCGAGCCCGCCTTTTTTTAAATGAATAAATAAACTACACTACATCATAACTACACTCCCGAGTAACAAATCGAATCAACCCCTTACTCTACATACATGCATTAATTTAAGTAAAAGTGTACAAGATGTTCATAAAAACAATATGTCATTTCAAAGACTGAAATTCCAGCTTTATTGAGGTACAGATTCATAAATATCTGATATTTATAATAATTCTCAAAATATCTGATATTTATTATATGTATAGGATATTTATCAATCATTTTGACTTATTTATTGTGAAATTCAATTATGTTGCCATTAATATTATGCAGATGAAATGTATTTAATAATAAAAGTTTAAATTGTAATGGAATTAAATGAAAATGTTCAATATTTTTTGATAAATGTCAATGCCTGATATATCAACCAATATAACTAACTCGTTTAAGTTCAGTCAGTAATCCTAAAATATTGGTGTAAGTATAATTCATTTATTGGTATTAATAAAGATGATACTTACGAAAAACAAAAACAAAAATACTATGTTAATTTCTTGATGATTTTCCCTTTTACAGTCTGTAAAGTGCAGAAGTTTGAGTTTAATGACCCCGATGTTATGACTACATATACTCATGTATAACAAAGCAATAATATAGCATTATATGTGTAAATCTAAAGAAATTTTACTTAAAAAAATTCCTGGGTCCAGATTTCAGACGGGATTCGAACCTAATTTTCGAATAGTATAGCATGTTTTAAAACAAGACTAGTATTATATGTCTATTTTTCCCTCAATTCTAGCAGATCTTTTATTTCCATGATTTTTGCATAAGCAATTGTTATTTTCTCCATACCACTTTGCCCAATCATGTACATCGAGTATCATATAATATCATGAGTTTATGTCTAGAAAAATACGCAGTGCATCAAAAATAGAAATGTAATTTTTTATCCACTTCTATACTGTATAAACATTTCAATTAATTGAAACAGATAATATATTCAAACCTTTACTATAGCCCTACATTTTATAGCTTCAACTATTAAATATTGTTTTTCTAATTATCTTTTTGTAGATTCAATGTATGTATGTGTAGTTAGCGGATGAGTCGATTTGGTTCGCGACGGTATACCGTTGCTTCTAAGCGACCATCCAAGAAGAAAAATTGAATGATACCTATATTTTTAATTTATTAAATAAGAAATAAGTACTGTAGTACTTTCAGTTTATATTTTGCTTCAACTGTGCAACATACTGATTTCCTTTGTCAATGCATTGCGTTTCTGTATGTTCATTAAAGATTATTTCAATCAAACCTGTCATTCTTCGACGTGCAACACAACTTTTGATTTGTTGTGATCCAATCACACGTAGAGCATACACCGTATTAACATGAGATGAAACTTTTCGTGGCATGCCAAAATATCTGCGGATTTTCATGTATAATTTATTATTCGAAGGGCGTACATTGCAGAGTAATGAGCTAAAGCTAATTCAATGCATACACAAAATATTTTTTTACAAAATAAATTGTATTTTAGGTCATCTCTTGTAACAACAATATTATGCGTCTTTCTCGAGGTTTTGGGCAAAATTTATTTGTATCCTGTCATAACTAAGCAGCCGGTAGATTGATTATTTATTCTATGATTAGAGTAAATGTAAGAGTACTCTTACTATGGTACATATTTTATTGCGCGGGGACTGATTTCAGGCGAAAATCTAGATTACTCCACAATTCTACATAGCCAAGTTGTTACATGCTCGATGTAGAACCGGCTCCTTAAGACGGAGGTCGTTCAACCCACTGAACTAGAATGACCTAAATATCGTAACAATGATGCCTGATAGACATTGCTGAATAAATAAACTTCCTTAAAACTATTTGTGGACAATCCAGCATTGAATTCCACTACGTAACTCGTATCGATAAATTTTTGTAACGCAACATTGAAGTAACTTAAATAACAACACATTATTGTGAAAACTAAACGTAATGTAAAACACTCATATTATAAAGATACTATGTGTATGTGTCCATGTATAGTAAATACGATGTCCAATGTGTTTGGTGATTTTAAAACTTTCTGCTTGTCTATTTTTGGAAAGACTAGATTTTTAATTGAAGAAAATTGCTGTTGAAAATTGTGTTACAAAAAAAAATGAATGAGACAAATATTTGCTTGGATTACTTCCTACTTTTTTAACTTGTTTTGTTTGCACCCGGCCAGTTAAGAGAAACATTTTGATAGAAGCAGTGGGCATATCAAATTCATCCATTAAGTTTTTAAAGTATTGAAGTACTTAGTCTAGTTTGAGGAGTTCGCAGGCGCAGGTGGTTAGCGCGTTAGACTTGCGATTATGGAAGTTAAGCAACTTACGCAAAGGGATCATTGGATGTATGACCAAAAACTTATTGTTTCGATCTCCTCCGTGCTTCGAAAGGCACGTTAAGCCGTTCGTCGCGGCTGTATCTGCAGTCGTTAGCAAAGAGCCTGCGTGGTTTCCTCTTCAATCTCCTTTCCATCCATAGGGAACGCCTGTGCCCCATCAGTGGTGACCTTAATAGGCTGATGATCAAATCTGGTTGGATATTGAAACATGAACGGACCATAACCGCCTCATTCGGAAGCCGTTTCGGATGCAAACGAATTTCCCTTCGTGTCATCGAAAGTGGGTCGTATGGTTGGTTTCGCTCGCTCCGCTGCTATAACTCTACACATTAGATTATTGTTTCGGAAATTTCGACCTTATCTTTTACAAGCAGCTCAACCACCTGCTGCTGTCTCGGATAACCTCATAAGATAGATTCGTGAATTATTTATTCGCAAGCACTTGTTTTATTACTTCCAATTTAAATATTTATAAAATTGTCGTGAAGTTTTAATTCTCACTATCTTTTGTGACAGTACTTGCAGTTTTCACCATATATATTGTTGTATCATCATAAGATAAGATAAATCCACTGAAATAATCATCGAGTTATGATAAATTACGTGTAGGTGTTTATTCTCGATACATTTTAAGAACACAGTGATAATAGGTAGGTACGTTTTATTGATGCATAAATTTGTCGCATTTTTTTATGTAGAACACCAATACCTACGTACTTGGATACGTACAATATTCCATCGCGTGCCTAGTTTGTTTATCGCCGTGGTTCGGATCGGAACAGGTCGTGCGGGTTCTGATTGCTAGCTGCAGCCGCAAGGCAAGGTCGCGTAGTCTCGTGCGCGCCTGCAAAAACAACCAATCGAAACGCGCACAATACACTCAACATAATGATGTTTTAATTCGTCTCACTTAACTCATCGCGGTCACTGTCTCTGAACCACTATCATTCTCCTCGTGTCCATAATTATAAGAAATGGCTACAGATCGTGAATCCGCTAATTTAATTTTACTATAGGTATTTAGACCAATACTTTTCTGGTGTTCTTTCATATCGTAATACATTAGGGAAAAATATTTTTCTGACGGATGATCAGTTCATAATTGATTTAAAGAAGATCTTAGGGAAGATTGTCTTGGTTGTTTTGCAACTAATACGCTCTTACTACAACACATACACACACACAAAGTGCACACAACAAAGGACCCAAGACATAAACTCATAAAACAGAAAAAGAGTATCTTTATTGTTAAACAGCAATCTCTTCCAGTAAACTTATGGTGGAAAAGAAATATTAATAGAGAAAAAGAGAAGGGTGCAAAAGTAGACACATGAGATGTACTTAATCAATATAAGAAAAGCAAAGAAATAGGATGTAAAATGAATTTAACATAAGGAAAGAAAATAACTTTTAACTTGATCGTTATAGGAATTAAGTGAACGTTCTGTGATAACAAGTATCAATATATCTTTACAAGGAAGGATCATTTTGCGGCTGATCGAATCACTACCAACCGCACTGGGGTTAAGTTAGATACGGTTTTAAACCTTGGTGTAGGCAAATTTTGTATGACATTTTTGCATGTTGAACGCATTTCTAATTTTTTATTAAGAATAGAGTTTAGAGACTTCACAAGAGTGGTTTTATACTTCAAATTTATCTTTTACGCTAATTTCTGAGTAGATACAGGCTTCGAAAAAGAAATAAGTAGTATATTTATTAGAGAGTAAAGCATCTAGTAAATATGTGGATAGATTGAAAGACCTGAGTTCCGACATTTATTATGCAGAAAGCGCGCCGGTCGATGGGTTGCATGCAAAGCAAAAGTAGGACGAGGCGCGACGCGACGACACGGATCTCCAAAAAGCAAAAGCTCCTTTTTCAAGCGTCTTACTCATAATTATGCGTCTTTAAAACCATATTAAATCATACTGGTATACAAACTTTTATCAAAGGCAATTGCTTGATATTGCTGCATCTGGAATTTTCAATTGAGAGTTTGGTAGCTTCGATCTATCTGCACCCTTAAAATGACAATGACCTAACTCGAAAATTCCGTTATTACTGATTTTGCTATGAATTTTATTTTAAAAATTTAAAAAGCATACTCTACAACATGTGGAGAAACACAGACCACCTAATTTTTTGACTCAGGTGACTCGTTGTAAATGGTGCGACATAATTTTGGATGCGAATAATACTACACAGTAATTATAAGCTAAAAAATTAAAGATAATGTTGGCTGACTGGTTATATATATATTTTCATTAAAAACATGTTTACACAATTAAAGTGGAATAATGTACTGTACGTAATGGATGAATAAGAGCTTGTGTAATAATTTTGCGTCTCTGTTATAATAATTATATCCTAAAAGTAAGCAATATTTTACTCAAGTGGACTTGAAGAATGTTCGGAACAAATCTAAAGCAATAAAACAACTTCATTGAAAGTTCCTGTTCTATTTTGCTAAGAACGATAAAACTTCTACTAATTGAAAGTTACGGAACCGAACATATTTATGAAACTTTTGGAACTGTAGAAGGTTTCCAGAGGAGTTAGAGAAGTGGTTCGATTCGCAGATATTGATCGTTTTCTCTTTATTACTATGTATTTACTTAGAAATAATTAAACAAACTGACTGATCAAACTTATAGATAAATATTAATAACGTAGTTGTTACTATTCCTTGTTATATTCGTTTTCCGAGTATTTTAATAACTGATTGCTGAATCTCAGTGACTTCACACAGTAATACGAAGATATCTAAGTTCAAAGAAAATTTTACTAGAAAATATTCCACGCGAACCAGGCAGCAGACGGGACTCGAAACAGCACCCTTCGCTATCCGGGCGAATGCACTGACCATTACGCTACCGCGGCCCTGATAGCTGTGTCGAATTTTCTCTAGCCTTTCTTAGGCTGTGCCATCTCTTCTCATTGTAGGTAACCCATAATGTCAAATGAATACCTTAACAAGTGTTAAACATTTAAAAGCAGAAATAGCAATTATAGTATTTATTTTTTAAGCATTTAACTGCTAGATGTTTAAATCTAAAAAAATAAATAAGTAGAAAAAATTTCACACATTTTGTTTTATCTGATCGCCGAAGGTTTTCAAATACCTTACGCTAATTTTCTTAAATATTGTTATTACCAATGCAATAGAAAAAAAGAACGCAAGGCATTTTCAAAACCTTCGACAGTCAGTAATAACAAATTTAAATTGTAAGTGATAGCCATAGCCAAAGCAATCCGTTTCGCGAAGGGAGGTTTTTTACCTTACCTATAGTTATTTTAAACAAGATTCCGGTAACGACTTCGTTTATAACCTTAGTTTTTTGAGAATCCCGCAGGAACCTAACATTTTAACGGCATAAAATATATCTCAATCATCCAAATACGTGCAGCCATTTTTGCGTAACAAATATCCAAATTAATAAAAAACCAGTTATTATATAGTAGGATGATTATTTCTTGTCATGTTTTGCATGCTACTTGCATTGTATTACAATCTGTCTGATGTCTGGACCTTGTAGATTATTTTCTAGTAAAAAAATATTAAGATTTATAAATGTAGCAGTTGAATGTTTAAAACAAAAATAATAGTAAAATATTATATTTTTAGCACACGTGGACAACGAGATGTACCTCTCGCGAGCACTCGAGCGGCTCGGAGGAAACGCGCTCAGCAGAGACTCCGAGCCGGACATCGGGGCGGCTTTCTTCAAATTTGCTGTCGTTACCAAAGAACTATCAGCACTTATGAAAACCTTGGTAAGTCGCATATTTTTTTAATGGTAAACTACAGCCTATATTGGTATGTGTCTTACTCTAATCTTAATATTATGAAGCGGAAAGATTTGTTTGTTTGTATTAAATAGGCTCCGAAACTACTGGACCGATTTGATAAATTCTTTCACATTTAAAATCTTACATTATCCCTGATGAACATAGGCTTTAGAGTATTTTCAAAAAAGTTAGGGTTCCGTATGAAAACTTCGATAATGTAACCCAATGTGTGAAATGAATACCAAAAAATAACCTTATATCGCCAACACTGCGGATGTCATTGACAATAGTGCAAAGTGATCTTCGATCAACAATTCTATAGGTAACGGGTTGCATACAAAATCAAAGCTAAAAACGTCCGCGTATGTTTAAATTTATGCAGCTACATTCGATTCCCAATGTGCAAAGATAAATGTTTTAAAACAGTTTGAGTTGAACCTAATATCAACTATCTCACAAATGAATGTTATTTTTCACATACGATCTGATACTTGGAAAAAAAACGATAAGGGAGGGTGAAAAAAGGATAATGTGAAATAAACCTTATGACCCACAAAATAAAATATTTTTACCAGACATTGGCCAGCGAGTTACTTAGTTTTGTATTAACCAAACTAATTTAAAATAAGATCTCACGCCTCAAGTGAGGCTATATTTACCGAGACGGATTTTACGCGCTGACTCGTTATCTATAGAATTGTTGATGGAAGAAAGTGATGTAGGTACTAAATTTTAAAGAAGATATCAATATTTACAAAATAGTTTGCAATACCAAATGTCTATATTGTATAACTATTACAGTTATGTCACAACTAGATATCTTCTGCGGTTTCACTCGCGTTAATTTGAGAAAAAAGGTTATAGTGAGTCAAACTATTATACAGGCAGTTAACTGCCCAGTTTAGACACCAGTCTCTCCTCAATATATGTATATATCTGTTGAAAATACAAATACAAACAATATGTCTGTACCAAAAATATTTGTATTGTGGTGAAAATAAACAAACATAAACATTATTAAACTTAAAAGATATTCTGTCGCAGACTTTTTATGGAACTTTTAAAGGGGAAGGATTCTGTCATACATGGTTTTTTATAACTTGAACCGTTTACCCCGCGCATTCAACGAAAGCTCAGAAATGGAATATTTTTACCCGTTTTTGCAACATTTTTCATGGATACTCCGCTCCTCCTGGTCCTAGCGTGATTTGATGTAGCCTTTCCTTTATAAAGGCACTATCCAACACAAACATTTTTTTAATCGGATATGTATTCTATAAAATTAGCGCGTTCAACCAAAAATAAAGAAACATTATGACCGAATCTGACTTTTGAAACGCGACGCCACGCCACGCGTGTTGATTCAAATCAAAATTTACTAACTTCTATGATCAGAATTACATTAGATACATCCGACGCGATGCGCTGCGCGATGAAAAATCAGAAAAATACTATTATTAATGCAGTAGTTGTGAGTGTTACAAGTGATGGGTGTGTACAAACCACTGCGTCACAAGATACATTTAATAATAAGGTTATACGGTAAGGGGGATTTTTTTTAACAGCAGAGCAATCGTGTATTCTATACAACGGGTCCTAAACCAGGCCAACAAAATTTTCACGGAAGGTTTATATGAATTATATGAAGAAAATCATTGAGTATAAATACAAGCCTGAGAACAAAAACTATAGTCTACATTACAGCTCTATACCGAAGCGAACCGAGGGTGGGCCACTAGAAACTAAAAGCATTGAATTTAATTTCTTGAAAGATTTAAGATTATTTTAAGTTAATGAATTATGTAACTTTTATACTATTCAAAATTCAATATCGTTTATTCAGTCTAGGCTGTTACAAGCACTTGTGAATGTCGAAAAGCTACGCCACCGGTTCGCAAATCTACGGCGGGAGACCTTGTACTGAGAAGAACCGGCAAGAAACTCAGCAAGGGCTGTTTTTTTCTCCCTGTATTATATACAGAGTCGTCAAATTGAAAAATGACTTCAATATGAGGTAACTCATAAAGTCACTTTCCATTACAAATGCAAATAATATAAAAATTATGACTATATAAAAAACTGGTTTAACAATGTTTAGGAATGCCGTGTCCTGCTGTTTAGGCAAAAAAAAAATGAACGATTAAAGTTTAGTACAACGATTAATAGTATCCAATGAAGCAAGAGCAGAATCATCTCCGCTGGCAGCACCCGTTCACGAGCATGACGCATGAACCAGACATCGCTTAGCTCAACCATTTTTTAGGGAACGCAACGACCCGCCTCACACGACACCACCGAAGAGATTTTTAAGAGAGCATGACTACCCATAACCACTTAAACCAAACTGCAAAATAGTTACTTAGAGTTAAGGTAATTTATCTGTACGACACTGCAAACAAATACAAAACAATTTTGCAGTTACAGCCATGCAGTTTTGTCATTCAAGTATTCTTTAATAGTATAATAGCCTTTCTTAAGTAAACAACTTTTAATGTGACATTTGAACTCATTTATGGGTAACTCAAGAACAGCATCAGGAATTTTATTGTAAAAATGTATACCTTGACCCATAAAAGATCGGTAAACCTTATGTAACCTGTAGGGTGGCAATGCAAGCTTGTTTCTATTCCTTGTGTTAAAATTGTGCACGTTACTGTGTTTGGTATACAAATTGATATTATTTTTAACGAGGAGTATGCAATTGTAAATGAATTGAGAAGTAACAGTCAAAATGCCAATTTCTTTAAATTTTTCTCTAAGAGATGTTCGACTACTCAATTGATAAATAGATCTCACAGCTCTTTGATGAGCGTAAAGGTTAAATGTATATTTTCATTGGTTTAGGAACCATACCAGACATTGCCTTTGTGACTGCGTAACGTTATTTTATAGCCCTTCATAAGACCCTTCCTTTCTGACACGGTTCGTATCATTTCATGCGTCCCGCCTGCCTGCCTCGCGCCAAAATCTTCTACTGAGTGAGAAACAAGCGCATCAAACATTAACCACCCCTCCGTTGAGTAATTTGAAGTTGTCGCAATAGCAAAAGGAAATTATGTTATTGAGGTAGTCGGGAGGAGGGTCTCGCCCGCCGGATGTTGGAAGAGATCGCGACAGCGGGCGGCGCGGCGGCGGCAATCGGCTAACCGCAGCGAATCAAATCTGAGAAATCGAATAAATCGGAATTATACGAAACTGACACTTAAGTCGGGGTAATAATATTACCGTGCTTAAGTAGAGCCTAGTCGTAAAGGCATTATTTCATAAAGTGCAGTTTAGTTTTTTCAAAAGCTTTTAACTAAACATAGATTAATGAGAATGATGTATGTCATCTCTTGAACTTTTACCTTAAGTAAACAGTTAAGTTTAGCATAATGTCGAAAGTAATTTTTAACATCTTCTAAAATGATGTGTTTTTTATACAATCAGGTTGCATTGCAATACCTGCCATTTACATAGATGTACGTGCGCTGAAGTACATATTACACAATACAAAAATCAAAGTAACATGATCTCGAGGATGCATAAGGCGCGACGCGATTGGATTTGCAGTTTAATGTGTTGTCCTTCTCCGAATAGTGAACGTATAAACGCCTGGTACCGATTGACGTGCGGTGGTGCGTGGGCGCACCCGCAGATTTGCTTGCAAATAGGTCAGGGTAATAATTTGATGAGCTGAACCTGGCCAGTAAAGGATGCAACAAACAATGAAGTGGTTACTTCTATATTAGATACCTTGTATTTACTAAGTAACCAAATAAGTTTAACTTGAATTATAAGAAAAGGATATCTAAACATGGCATTATATTTTGGGGAAATGCAACTGGATGGTAACGAGTGTTTAAGTGTCAAAATAGCATTATAGAATAGAATACAAAATAGAATACAAGGTGTATTCGTGCTATGTGTGGCTTCAAAAAAACTGATAGTTGTAAGTTGTATTTCAAGAATTTAAATCTCCTTACTTTGTTATCTTTATATATATTTGAGAAAGCTGTCTTTATCCGAAACAATCCTACATTGTTTAGAGTGGTTACTAGAAAACGTGATAATGAATCTAAGCTGTATCCCATGAACCAGTTTCAATTCAAATCTACTCTTTATGGAAAGAGTGTACTTGCAATTACGTCTAAAATATTTAACAAAGTTCCAACGTTAGTCAATTAAACATACATTTTATTCACTTAATGAATTTTTAGGCTCATAAAAAATTATTATTATCTGTCTGAATTTCCTGTTAATGACATTATTTTATATATTTAAATTTAAAAATGTTATTTGACATTTTAGTAGATTTACAGTTTATATTGATTATTGGTTATATGAATGAATTATTTAATATACCTACTTACAATAAAATTTACTAGTAAGTAAAAACAATAATTGAGTTTATATTTATTCACTAAGTGTTGTAAAATATTATTATTAATATCAATCTGGATGTCCTATTAACGTCATTATTGTTAATTATTTTATTAATTCGAAATATTGTTTGACATTTTAGTGGATTTATGTTTTGTTGACAGTGTGAGCGAATTACTTGAAACACCAACTTAACTTATTACTTAAATTTTAAAACACCAACAACCTCTTACGGGGTTACATGGGTGTTAAATTTTGCAGCCGTAATTAGCCCCATTTGGGACCAACGTTGAAAACTGTTGTTTCATACAAAAGTGCATCAGCTAATCGACCGAAATGTATGAAACAGCTGATTTTTTTTATTCATGATTTCAGAGTTGGTCCCATAATAAAAGTTGTTCCTGTTGATGGGTAGAATCACCCCCTAAGAGGTTGTTGGTGTTTTAAAATTAACCCTGTATATGTATGCCAAATGGGGCTAATCACGGCTGCACAATTTAACACACCCATGTAACTTTTAAGTCACTTTTAACCCGTGTATCACAAATAAAGTATTTGATGATTGATTGATTGAACATGAGTAGTAATAATTATCATTAAAAACCGGTCAAGTGCAAGTCGCA